GCAGCAGCTGCAGCAGCAGCAGCTGCAGCAGCAGCAGCTGCAGCAGCAGCAGCTGCAGCAACAGCAGCTGCAGCAACAGCAGCTGCAGCAGCAGCAGCACATGCACCAGCAGCAACACCTCCAGCAACAACAGCTCCAACAAGCTGGACCTTCGGAGCAGCTGCACCTGCAGCGGAAACAGCTGGCAGAGCCACAGCCGCAGCCACAACAGCAACAGCAACAGTTGCAGCAGCAGCAGCAACAGCAGCAGCAGGACGCAGCCTCATGTGTGGGGCCGTGCTTCCTGGGACTTTCCGACTCAGCAGTTCTCCTCTGGAGAGCTGCTGCGCTGCAGGGAGATGCAGCAGCAAAAGAAAAGGCAGAAGGGGGCCCCCCTGTCCCACAGAGTGGGGGCCCCCTCTTTGCCGCTGGCGGCGCTGTGGGGCCAGGGGCCCCCGTGGGCACTCCCGGAGGCCTTTCTTCAGCAGCAGCACCTGCTGCTGCTGCTGCTGCTGCTGCTGCTGGAAGCTCCAAGCCACTAGCAGCCGGGGAGGTTGCAGCTGCAGCTGCAGGTGCAGCAGAGCCTGTGGGGGCCCCCCTGTCCCGGCCAGCGCCTTCTGGGCGAGGCCGCGGGGGCCCCTGTGGGGGCCCCTGTGGGGTCCCCTGTGAGGGCCCCTGCGGGGCCCCCTGTGGGGGCCCCTGTGAGGGCCCCTGTGGGGGCCCTCTTGGGGCTGCAGAAGGAGTGTGCGCTTCGAAGAGCGGTGCTGCTGCTGCTGCTGCTGCTGCTGCTGCTGCTGCTTCTCCGTTTTCTGTGCTGCTGCCCAGCAGCAGGGGGCCCCCCGGGCTGGCGGGGGACTACCTCGACTTTCTGTGTTCCACCAGCATCATTGAGGCCTCGCTGCTGTCCCCACAGCCCTCGCCGCCCGCTGGGATCGCTGGGATCGCTGGGATCGCTGGGATCGGATCCCCAGGGGCCTCCGCCCCACAGCAGTTCTTGGCGGCCCCGAGGGTCCAGGGCGCTGCGCCGCAGCTGCAGGCCATTTAGCTGCCAGCAAACCAAAGCGGCACCCCCACAGGCCCAGCCTGCAGTCTGCAGCAGCAGCAGCAGCAGCAGCAGCAGCAGCGGCAGCAGCAGCAGCAGCAGCGCGGAGCTCTCTTGAATCTTGAACAGGTGTTAATAGGCCTGAGGGCCTCACGTGGGAAAGGAGGAGAAGTGAGGGGCCCCCCAACAGCCGGGGGCCCCCAAAGGCGCCTTTGGGGCGCAGGAAGTCTGAAAAGTGTGGGGAGAGGTTTGGCCTGTGGGGTCTTCAGGTGTACGTACACCTGGAGATGCACGTACACCCGGAGGTGCACGTACACCCGGAGGTGTACGTACACTTGGAAGTGTACATACACCCGGAGGTGTACGTACAGCTGGAAGTGTGTGTACACCTGGAAGTGTACATACACCCGGAGGTGTACGTACACCTGGAAGCGTATGTACACCTGGAAGTGTATGTACACCTGGAAGTGTATGTACAGCTGGAGCTGTACATACACACCTGGAAGTGTATGTACACCTGGAAGTGTATGTACAGCTGGAGCTGTACCTACACCCGGAGCTGTATGTACACCTCGCCGCGTAGTGGGGGGCCCCGAGGCCGCTGCTGCAGCTGCAGCAGGAGCAGCAAGAGACGCAACACCACTGCTGAGCCTCAGCAGCAAATAGAGACAGACGCAGCCTAACCTGCGCTGGGGCTCTCGATTTGAAACGGGCACGACGTGTCGGCTTTCCCTCCCTCC